TTAAATAGGCACTCAAAAGGTGCACGTGTGGCTTGATGTACCATTGTTGTAATTACATATAAAACTTCATCTATACTTTAATAAAAAGTTCCCCAGATCAAAGAGGTCACCTTAATACCAAAAAAAAAAAAAAAAAAAAAACAATTTTGGCATTAAGTATTATATAGAGCCAATTATATCCTAACACACCTAATTCAAAAAACCAAATGATCTGACTCAGTTGAAATAATCAAATTAAACCTAATTCAAAAAACCAAAATAACTCTACCCAGTTGGAATAATCAAATTGAACCTATTTCAATATACCAAAGTGAATAAGTAATTCACAAAATAAAATGATTTGACTAGATAATTAAATCGAATATAAATTTAATATTAAAATTTTTTAATAAAATGATTAAAATAATTGTTATTGCAATTTATATTACTAATCTGGCTAATTCATAATAAATCTAGTTTGTGTTGAGTTAACATAAGCTAGGTTTAACAATCAAAATCACAATCACGATCATTTTATTGAAAAATTAATTATTATAGGGATCACAAAATTCTGCAAAGCACAATAAAATTGCAAAATCTTATCTCTTATTATATTGACTTACTATTAATTATCCGCCCTGTGAAGTTTTGATTAAGAAACTAGAATAGTTTAACATAACAAATTGACTCGATTGGAATAATAACATGGTTGAAATAACCTAACAAATTAAATTGATAATTGATTAATAAAAAAAATTAAATTTACCAAATAATTTATTAGAATAAGTAAATTTAATCTAATTCAACATATGAAGATTTCTTTACTTTGCATACTCCATAACTATTATGTAATTACCATTTTTTGAGTTTTTGGTTATTTCTTATATTGTAATTTCCAAATTGCCTCTATATTCATATTAATTTTAACCTAATAAATATTAATTAAATTAGGTAAGATTACTATACTTTAATCATAATAAATATCAAAGTTAAAGTTAAAAATGGTTGAAGCTGAAAATTAGTGATCTTAATTAAAAAAGTTAGAAATTTTAGAAATTTTCAAGATTTCCAGCTTCAACCATAACAATAAATTAGAATTAAACATTCTTGTTTTGTTCTTTTAAAATTATCAAGACTTTTTAAACGAACACTTATTTGTGAACCTCTCTTTCATCATTTTTCTTAATGAGTTCTTTAATATATCATTAATCTATACTGCTTTAAAAAAATAGTACCAAAGCCTCCTTTAGCAAAATACTTTATATTTGTAAATTTGCTAAAGAGTATCTATTCAATAACGTCTATAATCTTTGCTATATTATATTGTGCTTGTTAAATTATTGATTAATACTGACAACTCACCAAATAACAATAAACAAGTTAAACCTAATTTAATACCAGTACAACTCTACTGGAATAAGCAAGCTGAACTTAATTTAGCATACTGAGTAACTCACTATAATAAGAATTTTGAAACCTAATTCAACATACTAGAGTGTACTCAAGCAAACCAAAGCAACCTACTAAGATGAAAAAAATTAAACATACCAAGTAACCCAAATATATAATTTGACTCAATTCAGAAATAAAATGATAAAAATAATCAAATTAGATATAATTTAACATACCAAACCTGATCCGGCTAGAATATTGAATCTAATTCAACAAAATGACCTGGTTAGAATATCAAAATTTAGTTGACCTAGCTGGACTAAGGTTGTTGTGTATATTAATATAAACTGGCTATAATAGAAAACTTACTGAAATAAAAAAAAATGACAAAATACCAAGAAAGTTTATATAAATATCAGTTTTTATTGTTACAAACAGCTCTTTATGTTTTGAAAGAAAAAAACATTTATTATTTGTTTTATTATAAGCCCATAACACTTTTTTATATCAATATATAAACTAAAAGAGTTCTGTTATCTATACATATTGAATTTATTTCTAAATTTATATCTCAATCCAGGGATCAATCCGGGTTATTAGGCCCAATCTGATCTCATGGTTCAGATCAGATAATAATCCGAATCTGTTGGATTTAGATTTTTCAGAACATATATATACATAATAATTACCGAAGAGGCGATGCATGTTTTCTTTATTTATTTTATTATAATTTTTATTATTTATTATAATTTTTTTTTTTCTAATTTACAGAAAATGGCTCAACGAGCCTCGGCATTCAAGTACCTTCATAGAAAAAAAGATACCCAAGTTACCAAATATAATACAGATGAATTAACAAATTTATTAATAGATAATGATATTCATTCACCTAAACTACCGAACCCTGGTAAGGCTATGGATGAGAAAGGACAATTGTATATTAATGTTCATGGCCTATTTTGGAGGTTGAGTAAGGTATAAATTTTTTTTTTTGTTTGTTAAATTAATTTAACTAATATTTAATATATGCTGTTATATGTATTAATTCAATTAATATTATTTGACTAATCTTTAATATATAATGTTATATTAATTTAACTAATATTTAATATATAGTATTTGATCTGCATTCAATCTACTGATCGAATACAGATCGAATACTATATCATTCGGCATCAAATTTACTAATTATAAAAATTTATATATTTTTTTATTTTTTATTTTAATAGTTAATTTACTTGTTGCATAACATCTTCAATCTGATAATTATGTCAGCTTAAAAACATCACCATAGAAGATCATATATATTGAGAGTTCAGAGGCCTAAAGGTGTACCCAATTGGGTAGCAAGTGGAAAAAATGAAGAAATTTATTTTAGTGGGGAAGAAGAGGATGAAAATGATGATGATGAAGATAATGAAAATGATAATAGTGATTATAATGAGAATGAAAGTGAGGATGGTAATGATAGTGATGGAAATAGGAGTAGTGAAAATGGAGATGACAAAACAAGTGGTAAAAGACCAGCTTCTGATACTATAGTGGAATGACCAAGTAAATGAATAGTTTAATATTTTTTTTTGCTTAATATTTTTTTTTATTTTGTATACAGTCAACTCTTTCTATACTGAACTCTTGGTTCTAGCCAAAAAAAAAGTTTGTTATACAGTATTACTATGTTTTCTTAAGAGCCATAGCTCTTGTTATACCGAATTAATATTAAAATTTAAAAATTTTAAGTTCATTATATCCAGAGTTCATTATAAAAAGGTTCATTATATACAGAGTTGACTGTATATATTTGTATCTATGCTTATTAATTATTAATAAATATATCGAATTTTTTCTGATTATAGTCTGATTTATTTTAATATTATTATGTATAAATTTCCTAATATTTGACTACCTAATTTTATTCTAAATGTTTAGTAATCGACTACTAATCGCTCTATTTTATATTAGTATTCGGTAATCGAATCCTTATCAATTTATTATAGCATTCAACTACTGAATGAAATAGCTGATTTGACCTAAATTTGATAGTCAAATAATTGGATAATTTTATATCGAATTGTTGAAATAATTCAACCTGAATTTGATAGTCAAATTATTTCAATAATTTGATATAAAATTAGCCAATTATTTGACTATCTAATTCAGATCGAATTATTTCAATAATTTAATATAAAATTAGCCAATTATTCGACTATCGAATTCAGGTTAAATTATTTCAATAATTCAATATAAAATTAGCTAATTATTTGTTTATCGAATTCAGATTGAATTGGCCATTTTATTCGGTAGTCAAATTTCTTATATTTGACTAGTGGTTGTATAAAACAAAACTGTCATTAACTATTTAGAGAATTCTTTATAAAATTTTTATAAAGTTAACTTTATCTCAAAGATATTTATATATAATGCAAACTAAATCTAGAGTAAAGCTAAATTATATAATTTTTGCTATTAATATAGCTATAGTGCTGGAAGTCTATACTCAACAATTACACAAAGTGATTCAATTTTTTAAATAGCTATAACTTTTTATCTAAGAGGTTTAAAAAATTCTAACTAGTAACTTTATAGAGCTACATATATGTACCAAATATCTTTTTAAAATCTTATCACTATAAAGAGTTAAAGCAATTTAAAAATTAAAATTTTATATATAAATTTATAAATTTATATATAAAATTTTAATTTTCAAATTGCTTTAACTTATTACAATAATAAGATTTTGAAAAGATATTTGGCATATATATAGAGCTAATATAGCTTTATAAAGTTACTAGTCAAAATTTTTTTAAATCTCTTAGATAAAAAGTTATAGCTATTTAAAAAATCAAAACACTTTGTGTAACTGTTAAGTATAAATTTCCAGCATTATATATTATTTTGTTATAATTTTTTTTTTTTTTTTTGAAATATATGTTTTTTTCATTTTATTTTTAATATTTATTTGGGTTTTTGTTAGTCATTTTTATTTTGTTTACTTTTTAAATTTTTATACTTTTTATCTTGTGTCTCTTGAGAAGAAAAAAGAATTAATAGGCAATCCACCAGTTACCTGGATAAAAAATTTTTTTTTTATATAATTTTACTATAAGTGCGAATACACAGCGCTTCTATTTAAAACTTTTTTTATACTAAGTAAATTACTCTTTGGCTTCTAACAAAAGTTGTAGAGCTCATTAAAATGTATTTAATACTGTAAGGATATTAAAATTGGTCTGGTAGTTCTTGAGAAATCTTTAAAAACTTCTTTTTTACATATAAAATTTCTTTAAAAAAAATAGATTTTTTTTAAAGAAATTTTTATATATAAAAAAGAATTTTTTTAAAGATTTCTCAAGAACTACCAGACCAATTTTAATATCCTTATGGTATTAAATATATTTTGATAAGCTCTACAACTTTTGTTAGAAGCCAAAGAGTAATTTACTTAGTATAAAAAAAAGTTTTAGATA